TTTCTCCATGCTGTGGCTGGTATGTAAACAAGCCCTTGGTTTTGTGAATTCTGTTCACATCCTGCTAACATAACAGCTTCACTGTGGTTTGGGGGCAGATACTGCAATGCCAGCAGCATCAGAGGGGACATTCAAGGAAGCATTTCCAAATTATCACTAAACAATAGCAACAGCAGCCACAACAAGGTTTATAACCCAATGTAAACCGTATAGCTATCCTTCCCCCCACTGCTTCCCATGTTTTTAAGGTTACATTGGACTAGGGTGATTCACTGTAGGGGAATAAAGGGTAGCATTTTAAGTATTAGACTTTTGTATTTTTCCATCGTTTGATAAACCTGTGAACACAATGTGTTCAAGCCATTTGTTAGTCTTCAAAGTAGGTTAAAGGATTCTCTTACTTTGGAAAAATAAATTTTGTTTCTGGGGTCCAAAAATAGTTGCTAGAATTTTTTCCTTTTTGTTTGTTTTGTTTATGAGTCTTTTCATTTAGGAGGTCTGGAAATAAATGCTGGCGTTAGGTCATGCTTCACAGTAACGAGGTGAAAAGTGGAATATTAGGAATCAAGTGGTGGGAGAGGAGGTAATGGGGAAATCTGAGACATAAATACTCAGATACAGGAAGCTGAAGAACTTAGGAAGAAATCAACCTTCAGATGGCTGATCTAGTAGTGAAAATGTATAAAGAAATACACAGCATTACTGTTGTCTTTGAGGAGCCTGATCTTTAGGGCGGTAGTGTGCCAGGTTACACACTTTCATTCGCTGTGTATACATGCACATTAGATGGCTCACGTGGCAGCAGACCATCCAAAATAGTTGAGAAGAGTTTTGTAAACAAATAAAACATTTAAGTGATTGCAACAAGGCAAGTAGGCCTGGCTGTAAAGTTCTATCTGCCACGAAAGGGTAAATCTTGAGTAGTCATTGGCCCGTTGCTTGTCTAATAATTTAGATTTTCAGTAAGCATTTGATAAATTTTCCCTCAAGTGCATATTATCAGATAATAGTAATCATTCATTCATGCATTCATTCAATAAATACTTACTGAATGCTGTGCGTTGGTGACATATTATAGATGTCACATTTCTAGAAATAACCAGAACTGGGGAGGTGGGGTTGGCCATTGTCTGCTGACAGGAAGGTGAGTCTTATTATCAGCAGGTGTGTGTGTGTGTGTGTGTGTGTGTGTGTGTGTATCTTTCAATCTAGGGTTTCTTTTGCCGTTGGGCTTTTTTGTAGTCTACAGAAGTCAGCGTGTTGGGGAGAACTTAAGGCCTGGAGGAGGAGTGGAGTGGGCCATATGCCTGTGAACAGCTGGGGAGAGAGGTAGAGAATGGCAAGTGGATCTAAACCAAAATAAAAATCCCAGACCCTACAGTTGGCAAAACATCATTTGGCCTAGTTAAAACAGGGGACACTTAGGGGAACTTTCTGGCTAAACTGAGAGGTTAACGTAAAGAATAACTGAGTTTCCAGAAAAGTGGATGGTAGCATGATGGCATAACTTTGACAGGCAGAGCTGCATGTTAGGAAAAGCACAGGGTTCAGGAAAGGCTCACGCATCAGGTCTGAGAAGCCCAAATGGCATTTATGTGCAAGCAAGGAACATATCCATCTGTATTCCGTCCTGTTTTTCTGGCTACTTAAGATTCTATATTAGACGCTCCTGACCTCCCTAAATCTGGCCCAGGGCAAGAAGGGTGACCGTGCATTGGAATGGCATGCATGGGAGTGCTCATTTATTCAGAAACCATTTGCTGAGCAGCAACCATGCAGTTATTTATATGTATGAAAGTAGTGGGCATTTTCTTCCTGCACCTAAGAGGAGTGGGCAATGTGGGGAAAGACGGGGGGCAATGCTTTACAGATGCTACAAAGATAAAGCTTCTTTCGGGAGGTGAGCTGTGAGGTAGTGGAAAGAGACAGACAAGATCTGCACTTTATTTGCAGTTCTTTATTTACTAGCTGGGTTCTGAGCCTTAGATTCCTTTCCATAAAATGGGGATAATAATTTCTGTCCTTTTCCCTCTTAGATTTGTTGTGAACATGAAACTATTCATAGAAAGAATACAGAGTAAACTGTTAAGCACTATATGCATGCTTGTATAATCAGATGATTTTTTGAGGTGGAGTCTCACACTGTTGCCCAGGTTGGAGCACACTGGTGTGATCTCAGCTCACTGCAACCTCCACCTCCCCGATTCAAGTGATTCTCTTGCCTCAGCCTTCTGAGTAGCTGGGATTACAGGCACCTGCCACCATGCCTGGCTAACTTTTTGTATTTTTTAGTAGAGACGGGGTTTCACTATGTTGGCCAGGCTGGTCTTGAACTCCTGACCTCATGATCCACCCATCTCAGCCTCCCAAAGTGCTGGGATTACAGGCATGAGCCATGACTAAATGATTTTTTTTTCAAAAGTAATAATAGCATACCCTGAGCAGGCAGAGTTGCTGATTAACTTTGCCTGTTTTGAGGGATTGCCTCCTGGGTGAAGCCTCAGGAGTCCAGTTCACTTGTAAATAGAACCTCCCCTGGTTCTTTTTCACTTTAGGGCTATCGGTAGGAGCTCAGCCCCGGTGGGACCCAGGAGTTTCACACTGGTCTCCAATTTCAGGATGCACTTGGAGCTGTTTTGGCAAGCTCCTAATACAGTTTCTTTAAAAAACATTCCCAGAGTGGTTGAGTTGCCTTCTGGGGAAAGCCTGGTGGGGTGCATTGATGCCTTGGGATGAGGAGGATTTTGTGCCCGCCCCATCTGAACCTTTACCTCCTGACAGCAGTAGAGACTTGCCTGTGAAGTCAGGAGTTGTATGCTGGGGACCGCGAAGGCCATGCTTTTGTACGGGCTCGTGGCCATAGTAACGACATTGCTGTGGGCAGAGCTCCATGTTAGGCCCAACAGGCAACCAGGCAGGGCGGAGGGACGCTGGGAAGCAAATACAGGCAAAAAGCATCTTCAGATGTGGAGGTGGTCCCAGTACTGCAGGCCCACCTTCCTCTCAGAGGTAGTCACAGCTTTGGCCAGTGTGTCTGTGTGTCTGTGTGTCTCTGTGTGGCTTGTTTTAAATTAGACCAGGCCTGAAAAATGAAAGAAAAAAAAAGAGAATAATTTCACTGTGAGAACATATGGAGATGACCAGATTCGTCCCACTTGAGCCCCTGGGCAGAATAAACTTGCACTGCTAGTGGTGAACAGCAGTGTGCAATAAAACATTCTTCCCTTGAACCCTTTGACTGTGAAAGAGGCACAAGGGGAGAACGCAGCAGGAATTCTTTCTTTTCAGCTGCTCCCCACTCTGTTGCTTACATTCACTCCGCAGATCTTATTGGTCTGCTACTGTGTGTGAGAGGGAGAAAAAGACTGAGCGTGTGTTTTATGGAGGGGACTGATTAGCTCTGGCCCTGTTTTTGTGTCGTTGGTGGTGCTATGGATCCTATTTTATGTTTACTGCCCCTTGACATTTCTTAAAAGGAGTCTTCAAAGCAGAAGGTCCTATTCTGAAGACAGGTTTCTGGGCAGTAAAGTTGACAGGGTTTAACATCAGGAAAGTAAACCTAATAGAAAAAGGGAGAAGCATAAACAACTCCAGCTACATTCCACAGTGGCCTTTGATGGGAAGAGGCCTTGTTTATGGAGATCTAGGGGCAGCCTAGATGGTTCACATCCTCTGGTGGTGTGCAGTGTGAGGTCTGTTTCCTACCCTCCCCCTTAGATGACCTCAGCATTTGTAGCAGCAGCTACATGTTAAAGCCACTAGATAAAATCATGCCAGTAAGACTTCAATGTTTACTCGCAGAATTTCTCAAGTTAAGTCATTATTGACTTATTCCTACCTCATCTCTTTCTTCCTCAGCTCAGCCAATCCCAGTGCTCCCTCTTCTTCCACCAACCAATGCCTGCATATTTTGTGAATTTCGCATTATGTATTGAACTTGAAACCAATTTGCTTAATATAACCAAGGCAGTACCTAAAAAGCTTTATTTCAGTAAACACGATATTGGTAAATATGAGACTGTTGTCTTACTGTCCTTGGATACACCGTTTTTCTACTCAGTGATAAGATCGTGAGTTCATGAGGATTTTGCTGGTGGGACCTCGTGGGTAGGTTGTAGATGTATGTTTATATTTGTGTTCATGTACAAATGTGTATGTGTATTTGGGTTTTTTTTTTTTTTTTGATGTGTTTAATCTCCTGACAAAGACATATTATTTTCTTTTTTTTATACCCATACCATTTTATAAACAGAATTCTAGGGGGATGATCTAGGCAGAGGAAGTCTAAAATATTTTTAGCAGATAAAAAGTGATGTTGCTATAACCACAGATATTCAAACAGAAAGTAAAGTAGACGTTAGAGAATGCAATATGGTCTATGCATTGTAACATATTCCTTTATAGTAAGGCATGGGGGATAGGAGGAGGAACCCATCTAACAGCTCGTATATTTTTGTATTTAATGATGTGTAAATATTTGGCTATATTTAATAATTAAAACTTTGAATTCCTTTTTTCTCCATAGAAGGCTGCTCAATTCAAAATTTCTTTTTATATACAAACAGAAAGATTGAATGGCATTTTTCCTTATGTGGAATAGCACAACAGGATAAAGCCATGTGTTGCTTTTAGTGGAATCAGTGTTTCAAGCAAAAATAGCCATCATTGCTGGCTTTTTTTCATCAGTTTCTATACTAACCAGGCAGGCTTCTGCATTGGGAAAACATAAATTGGAGTGGAAACTGAACAACGGAAAGTTCTTATATATATATATATATATATATATATATATTTTTTTTTTTTTTTTTTGAGACAGAGTCTTGCTCTGTTACCAGGCTGGAGTGCAGTGGTGCGATCTTGGCTCACTGCAACCTCCAACTCCCGGATTCAAGTGATTCTCCTGCCTCAGCCTCCCAAGTAGCTGGGATTACAGGCACGTGCTACCATGTCCAGCTAATTTTTGTACTTTTTTTTAGTAGAGATGGGGTTTCAACATGTTGGCCGGGATGGTCTCCATCTCCTGGCCTCTTGATCCACCTGCCTTGGCCTCCCAAAGTGCTGGGATTATAGGTGTGAGCCACTGCGACCGGCCAGTTTTCATATATTTTCTTAACTCCATGTTGAGTGCTTACCAACTGCAATTTTAGAGTGTAGGATTTTTAGAGGTGCTCCGTACACTGCCTACAGTGAAAGGCTAGCTTCTTCTCCTTCTATTTCCAATCCATTTCTCACTGTTACATTTAGAAAATACAATAAAAATGTATTACTAGAGTTGGCCTCTGACCATGCAGTTTTAAATTTCTGTGCTTATCCTGTGGGGGGGGACATTGCTGATTAAGGATGAGCACCAAGTCCAGACACCATGCTTTGAGTAACACTGTCTCAGGGCACATTCGGATCCATGAGTAGAGCTCCTGTCTGTGATGGTTAAATGAGTGAAAAAACCTGGAGAGACATTTCAGCTGTTTGCCTTTTCTGCAGGCATTTCTGTGCTAGCTCGTTCAAGCTCCCTCTTTAGTCTTTGCTTCCCATTCTTTCTATTGTGTACCTTTGGGTTAATTACACATCTTAACTTCCCGTTTCCTGCAGATTAACCTTCACTTCAAAAATGTAAGTGATTACATGCACTTCTTCTTCCCAAATTAACTACCATACACTCTGGTATTCTTTGGCTGGGAGCATGGTATCTTTTTTTTAATACATTTGAAATAAATCCAAACACCTGTCTTGCATTTTGTAAACATGTATCTTAGAGTGAATTATACTTCCTTTGAGTCCATACATTTTACAGGTCAGTCTGAGACATTTACATAACAATTAAAAAAATGAATATATTGCTGATTTCCTCTGTTTGGCTTTAAATGCCTATAAACGGCACTAAAGAAGAAGAAAGTCATGAAAGTAGTAATGCAGAATTCAGCCTGGTCTGGGGTCATTTGGGAGATATTAACTACTTTCTCATATATGGCTAAACCTTGACTAAACGTTTTTTCTTTGGGGGATGGGGGTTGTTTACTCTTTAGTTTCCCAATGCAGGAGGAAAAATATAAATATGTAGAACTATGTCCAGGTGCAGTAGCTCATGCCTGTAATCCCAGCACTTTGGAAGGCCGAGGCAGGCAGATCACTCACAGTCAGGAGTCTGAGATCAAACTGGCCGATGTGATGAAACTCCATCTCTACTAAAAAATACAAAAATTAGCTGCGTGTGGTGGCTGGTGCCTGTAATCCCAGCTACTCTCGAGGGTGAGACAGGAGAATCACTTGAACCTGGGAGGTAGATGTGGCAGTGAGCCAAGATCATGCCACTGCACTCCAGCCTGGGCGACGGAGCGAGACTCCGTCTCAAAAAATAATTAATTAATAGAACTATGATTTGCTTCATGTGTTCCCTCCTTTCAGAAGGATGTTCATTCACAAATCTAATTTCCTCCAATTTCTTCCTTTTAAAAAAGATAGCTGACTGTTGTGGTTGAAGAGGTTACCTTCCCTTCTGGAAACCGAGACAGAGGTCTCCTTACCAGTGGTGGGTACCATAAAAAAGAAGGCACTGAGCTCTTGATTCCTGGTTTTGCCTTCCTTCTTATCAACTCTAGGGATTCAGAAGGTGGACTTCCCATATCTGGGTCAGCAGAGACCTGTGGGTTTTTTCCTATACCACTGTAGACATAATTACAATTTAACACACCCAGACCTTCTCTCTCTCTCTCTCTCGCTCTTGCCCTCTCCTGCCTCTTTTTTCTCCTGTGACAATGGTCTCTAGGGCCTGGTGGTTGAAGATCACCCCTCTGTTTCCTTTCCTGCCCAGCCCTCAAGGTGGGCCCTGGGAGTTTGTGCTGAGCTGGGAGTTTCCCTTTTCTTGGAGCCTAGCATGGAGAAGTTCCTTTCATCCTGGCAATGGGAGCTGGAGACAAAGCTTAATTTCTTTGACTCTCTAGCTTTCTTTCCATTTTTATGCCTTCCTTGTCGGTTCTTGCTCAGTCCCTCTTTTCCAGGAATCTTTAGCTTTCAGTCATTGCACTGTTCTTCTGAAGGCACAAATTGTTCATCAAGGCTTCAGGGAGTTCTGGGTCTTTTGCCCAGGCTCCCTCCTCCAGCCCCACCTTCCCCCATCCTGTGGTGAGTGAGAGCCTGAAAGCTGAGAAGCTCTGAACGGCCTTCTCTGATTACCACTACATCGCTGGTGTCACATCAACAGCCGTGGCTCTTGTAGCTTTCCTCAAAGCTCTGTGTGGGAGGCATAAAATGTAATTCAAATAGTAATGATTAAAAGTGTCCTATTTTTCTCTAAGGTTCTCCCATTTCTAAAGTAAAGCAAGGGTCGTAGGGCTCCTGTTTAGTAGCTTGATAAAGATGGAAATTATTAGTGTGGGAGAGGGTGTTTTTTTTCTTAAAACCAAAACATTTGATGCTTTTTCCTTGGTGCTAGAGCTACAGTGCCTTCTTGTCCTTTGTCTATACTTTTTATCCTTGTTGTTTTCAGGCCCTCTTACAAGGAGAGGGAGTGAAGAAGGGAGGGACTTAGCTTCTAGGAAAGACTGTTGAAACTGATTCATTTCTAGAAGCGTTTGGGAACAGAAAAACCTGTCTTTATTTTTAGCCCTGCTTTGCTCAGAAAGGAATAGTGGCTACCTTGATAAATAATACTAGCCTAGTTCTATGTTCTCTGTGCAAAGATTTGATATACATTATGCCTCTTAAACCCCTTTGCAACTGTAAGATAGTTACTATCATCAGCCCCATTTGAGGATATGTGAACTGAGGCTTGGAGTGGTTTAGTGGTCACATAGATTTATGATAGTTGGAATTTGAATTCAAATCTGCTTGTCTCCAAAAATTCAGTATTGCATTGAGAAGGGGACAATATGATGGAAGAAAGCACTGGCCTTTCCAGTGGAGTGATGCTTCAGGGCTGCCTTTGATGCAGGGCTGCAAGATTTTGTTGGGTGAGGAGGGAACAGCATTCTGCTTCCTTTCATGGCAGTACTGATGGGGAAGTTTTGTATGAATCAGAAACATTGATTTTGTAAAATTACATTGATAATATTCCTGCTTAGACATGGAGAGATCAAGAATGATTCTCCATGGTGTTTCAAGCTAAAATACTTGAAAATGTTATTAGAGATAGGATTCCTGCCGGGTCTGGTGGCTCATGCCTGAAATCCCAGCACTTTGGGAGCCTGAGGTGGGTGGATCACCTGAAGTCAGGAGTTCAAGACCAGCCTGGCCAACATGACAAAACCCCCCAAAAAATACAAAAAATCAGCCATGTGTGATGGCAGGCACCTGTAATCCCAGCTACTTGGGAGGCTGAGGCAGGGAGAATTGCTTGACCCCTGGAAGCAGAGGTTTCAGCGAGCCGAGATTGCACCGCTGCACTCCAGCCTGGGCGACAGAGTGAGACTCCATCTCAAAACAAAAAAAAGAAGTAAGATTCCTTCCCTGTGTCTGACCTCAAGCTGTCTGGAGCCATGCAGCAGCCAGAAAATGGCAACTTGTGGCAGCCCGTCTTTGGGAAGAACAAACTGAATTGATGCTTAGAAGGGACAGGAAAGATGCGGACAGGTTTCAGGGAACGGTGGGGACCACACAAAAGCCCAGGGGTTAAAGAGGCAAAATTCTAGCTCAGAATAAGCAGCTAAGAAAAGACACTTTCTGGAAGCCTCAACAAAGTCAGGCAAACCAAATGGCAGCAAGAGAAGTAGGCATAGGCGAAGCAGCCTGGAGCCCACGACCTTGAAGAGAGCGGAGAAAACTGCAGAGTCAACACAAGATGGAGGAGAGTTTTTTCATTTCAACCACAACAGTCTCATTTGTCTTATTTTTGTACTCACACCTTATCCTGAGATCTCCACCAGCCAGGAAGTTTGCCTGAGCTTTATTGTTCTTCATTTTACAAAAACAATGTGTTTTCACTTGGAAGGTACAAAATTAAAATGTTGACTTAAAAATATATTGCAGAAAATATCTAAGGCAGCATCCTTAGTCACCGTAATATCTGATGTGATCTTCACAGACCTTGGTTGGGGGATAGAGAGGGAATATTCCTAGAAAGAATAAATGATGGCTTTTATATATATAAAATATACATAATGGGCCAGGTGTGGTGGCGCATCCCTTTAATACCAGGACTTTGGGAGGCTGATACTAAACTATAGGTTGAGTATCTCTGATCCAAAATGCTTGGGACCAGAAATGCTTTAGATTTTGGATGTTTCTGGATTTGGGAATATTTGCATACATATAATGAGATGTCTTGGGGATGGGACCCAATTCTAAACACAAAATTCATTTATGCCTCATATGCACCTTATACACATAGTCTGATAATTTTATACAATATTCTTAATAACTTTGTGCATGACACAAAGTTTGTGTACATTGAACTATCAGAAAGCAAAGGAGTCACTATCTCAGCCACCCACATGGGCCATCTGTGGTTGTTTGCCATCACTGTCATTCCTGACTCTGAATTTATATGCCCCCATAAGCAATCATGTTCTTTTTTTTTTTTTTTTGAGATGGAGTTTCACTCTTGGTGCCCAGGCTGGAGTGCAGTGGCGCAATCTTAGCTCACTACAACCTCTGCCTCCTGGGTTCAAGCGATTCTCCTGCCTCAGCCTCCTGAGTAGCCCACCACACCCGGCTAATTTTTGTATTTTTAGTAGAGACAGTATTTCTCCACGTTGGTCAGACTGGTCTCGAGCTTCTGACCTCAGGTGATCTGCCCTACCTTGGTCTCCCAAAGTATTGGGATTACAGGCATGAGCCGCCATGACCGGCCTAAGCAATCATTTTCTTATACTTAAAAACACATAAGTACTTAACAGTAAAATATGACATACCATTAATACAGTGGAAAACTAATGTGCTCAGGGTAACTACGCAGCACGGTAGCATCACCAGAAGAGCTGGGAAATGCAGGATAGTTTGCATGTTGCATGCCTGCATTTTGACTGTGACCTGTCATGAAGTCAGGTGTGGCATTTTCCACTTGGGGCATCATGTCAGTGCTCACAAAGTTTCAGATTTTGGAGCATTTCAGATTTTAGATTTTTGAATTAGAGATGTTCAACCTGTATTACTGTTGTTGTTGTTGTTGTTAACTCACCCTTCCGAGGTCATTTCTGGTGGCAGCTGAGACTTCTGCCTTAGATGTTTTCAGAGGACCAGTGATTGCTGGTAGGTACAAGGAAGGCAGAAGTTGGGGAATAGCTGGGGATGAATAATGTCCCTCTCCCTCATAGTACACATGTCCTCTCTCTGATTACTTTGCTCCCTGCTCCAAACCAAGCCTCCTGTTTGATTTTGGTGACCCCAATTTCTCATTAATTTCCTTTTCAGAACTCTCTCCAAACAAGGAACTAAAGTGAGCATCTGGCAAAAAGCAACATGTGGATTATTTTGAAGTCTCCTTTTTCTAGCTTTAGAAGCTGTGAATGATGCTTGACTCACATACACCCCCTGTCCTCAAAACGGCAGCCGGGAGATCCCCATATCTCATGTCTCTTGTATCCTGTGGGTGCCTGGCACGATACCTCACAGCTAGGAAGTAGGTGATCACTGCAGGGTGGGGAGGAAGATCAAAACAACAGGGAACTAACTCATCTGTAGTACCAGAGTCTCTCTGATGGAAGTCCATAGAAATATTGAAAGAGTGAAGGACTGGGCACGGTGGTTCATGCCTGTAATCTCAGCACTTTGAGAAGCCGAGATGGGTGGATCCCTTGAAGTCAGGAGTTTGAGACCAGCCTGGCTGACATGGTGAAACCCTGTCTCTACTAAAAATACAAAAATTAGCAAGATGTGGTGGTAGCAGGTGCCTGTAATCCCAGCTATTCAGGAGGTTGAGGCATGAGAATTGCTTGAACCCAGTAGGTGGAGGTTGCAGTGAACCAAGATCATGCCACTGCATTCCAGCCTGGGCAACAGAGAGAGAGGGCATCTCAAAAAAAAAAAAAAGAAAAAAAAAAAAAAGAAAGAAA